AACATTTACCCAGAGTGTTAAAAATACCAGTTATTTTTTTACCATTGTATCATTATTATGTGCTCTAATTTTTACATACCTTGTGCTAAACATTGTGTTAAATATTTGGCATTTTAAAAAACCACAATTAACCTTCAATGTATTTCAGTGAAGGTGGTGTGATCACTTCATCTGGTTTATAGGTGAGGAAGCTGTCCCGTGATCACGTAGCTGGCGAGCGGTGGATCCAGGATTTGAATCCAGTTCTGACTTTAGAGTCTGAGCTCTTAACTACTGCTTCATGCTCTGGAGTGGAGGGTGATGCTAAGGTACGGTGGAGAAATTACAGGGGAAAGTATAACCTCAGGCACTGCATTCATACAGTGAGAGGACCCACAGTGTCCTAATCCTTCATTGTAAACTCAAGAAACTCAGCAGAAGTCAACTGTGACGTAATGGATAAATAATAGAAGGCTCCAGAATTGGCCCTGTGTCTAGGCCGAGGCAAATGGTGGGCCATGCACAAGCTGTGGGATATGGTTACATGGGCGTAGAATTTGGAGCTAGAAGCCTTGTTTTAGTTTTTGCTCTGCAAATTTTAGTGGCGTGGTTAACTTCATATCTCACTGCTAATTCCTTATCTCTAAGAGAGGGTTGTTGGGAAAATCAAATGAGTACTGTTTTTTTAAAGCTCTTTATAAACTTGTAGAAGGAAATTAGATACTATTAGAGAAATGTTGGTATAAATTTGTAATAAGCGTTGGTTTAGTTTTAGCAGGATATTCTTCCTATCTTCTTTCTCTCCATTTTTTCTATGAACTCTAAACAATCTTGGGCAAAAAGTTCCTGAAGTAAAACCCTTAGTGACTTAAGGAATAAGAAATACTTGCTTATGCGACTACTGAATCACAGCCGATGACTCTGTGGTCATCCTTCATACACTAAGGCTGTATCTTGTGGTGGTGAGAACATGAACCCTAGACCAGACTTCTGGGGTTACATCCCCCTTTTGACACTTGCTAATAGAGTGAGTTTGGGAAATTTCCTGACCTCTCTGTGCCTCAATATCCTCATCTATAAAATGGATGTGGTATTTCTCCCTGCCTTAAAGGATTTTGAAGTGTTAAGTACAACATCCATAGAAAGCCCTCGAAATAGTTCCTGGCACACACTCCAAAAACTATTAGCAACCATATCGTGCAAATGCATACTTGTTTGAATTGTATATTGGTCCATATTCATGTATCTATTCTGAAATGAGAGATGGATGAGAGAAGGTGGACAGGGACATCAAATCCTTTCCACCAGAAATATGGCTGAAAGTGTATTCTGTACTAAAAAGATAAAGAATTTAGTGCATCGTTCACATTAGTAGTCATTCACTGAGAAACTAGAAAATTAATCAAATTATTATCAGTCTACAGTAACCTCACAGCTAGAACCTCCTGAATTAATAAGTTGCACTTGGTATTAAATATGATTATTTGCTCTGGGATGCAAGAAAGTCCACAGGAAACATTTCAGAATTTTAACAGCAAGTCTAGGCTCTTCTAAGGTCTTTGAGGCTTTTGCTTAGAAGCCTGCAGGGGGGTCATCTACATTTTCGAGGGGAAAGTGGAAGAATCTTGGCATCTTGAGCCTCTAAATTCTAACTCGTGATTTGCTTGGCACCATGGGGTTTTACTGGGCTGTTTTGTGGAGGTGGTTCCAAATTATTTAACCTTTTCTTCCAGATACCATAAATCAGGCTTTGAATTTCCTGCACTCTTCTGCTCTACAAATTTTACAGATGGGGCAAACTAGAGCCTGAGGATTAGGATGGTTCATCAATTATACGCCAAATTGGTAGTTCTCAAACTTAATGTGCATCAGAAAAACTGATGGATGGTTTCCCTTCAGTTTAAAAGTCTGCAGGGCTTTTTAGGGGCTGGCCCGGTGGTGCAACGGTTAAGTTCTAACGTTCGGTTTCTCGGTGGCCCTGGGTTCACCGGTTCGGATCCTGGGTGCGGACATGGTGCTGCTTGGCACGCCATGCTGTGCTAGGCATCCCATGTATAAAGTAACGGAAGATGGGCATGGATATTAGCTCAGGGCCAGGCTTCCTCAGCAAAAAAGAGGAGGACTGGTAGTAGTTAGCTCAGGGCTAATCTTCCTCAAAAAAATTGAAAAAATAAAAAGCTGCAGGGCTTTTTAAAACCCTGATTGCTAGGCTCCACCTCCAGAGTTTCTGATTCAGTAGAATGTACATTTCTAACAAGTTCTCAGGTGATGCCGGTCTGTTTGTCAGGGGACCACCTTTGAGAGCCATTGTGATAAGTCAAATACAGGAGACAAGTTGATTAGGGCTCCTGTAAACTAGTCAGAACCATCCTAATTCTTTTACCAAATCGATGCACTTGATGAGCCATCTTTTCTCTCATTCAATTAGATAATACTTAAGAGTTTCGTAGGTGCTTGAGAATATCAGGTAACAGAAGTTGTTTATATTTGAGATAAAAATTCTCAAAACTAGTTTCTAATTAAGGACTTCCCCCAGCCGTTTTTTCCCCTATGTGTAAACCAATTATAAGTCCTATGCAATTCACATAGTCAGATAACTGACATGGGTCAGGGCAGAGCAGGCAGAGTAGCTACTGGGGGCTTGGTTGGTATTAAAGTTGCTACTCTCAAGAGAAAGTGGAGAAAATTCTATTTTTTATATATGTACAAAATTTCTTTTCCTAATTTGGGAAACTTTGGTTTTCAACTAGATAGCTTAATTAGTTAAATATATTCTCTGGAAAGTATCACCATTTCTGTTTTCTAATTTGTCAAGGAAAAAAATAGCAGGGGATTGATTATTCTCAAAAATATAGAGACCCCTTGTGGTCATTCGTAAAAGTACTTTAAAAAACAGAGACCTAGAGTATCCCAATTTGTCAAAAGGTTTCAAGATCTCTGGCTTAGTTGACATACATAAATATATTGAATATCTGTCAAAATAGATAAGTAATAGGACTTTACATAATGGTAACTTCTATAAATATGTACATCATTCAGCCATAACAGTTCTCCATGATATATTAAAACTTGATTGAAGCATAAGACATAAAGGAAAGTGCGCAAATCATAATTGTCTAGCTCTAGGAATTTTCCGAAACTGGAGATATCTGTATAGTCAGCATATCTGGTAGATTTTTATCATAATTTTATAGGAGGGTGACTCAGGCTTGGAAAGGTTATGTGATCTGTTTCATAACATCAATCAAATCCATTTTAACTTCGTTCACTCAGAAATGTTTCAATGAATAAAGAATTTCAATAAATATTAACATAAAAGACAGTCAATTTAGAAAGCCAGGATCCACAGTCCAGATATATAAGTATCAAATTTTGTTAAATGAAATTACTTTTACACAGAGAATTTCTAGAGCAGAAGACTAAACAGGCCAAAATTTATTATTATTATTATTATTTGTTGTTGTTTGTAATTGTTTGCTGTTTGTGGTGGTGATCTAGCTTTTTCCTCTATTAATTATATGCAGTTTTGGAGCATCTTTCACTTTTGGTTCCTACTTTGGGTTCCTGGGGATACTAAGAATAATATTCCGTCCTTGCCCCTAAGAGGCTCAGAGTCTAATGTGCAAGAGAGACATATAAACATAGTTTGATACAGTACTTTGTGCTCTAAGGGGAGTGTATATATCTCTGTGGACTAATTTTCAGGAAGGTGGCTATGTTTTCCCCAGAGTACACCCCAGGCTGTGTAAAGCTTGAAAGTCCACAATTTTCTCTCTTTGGTTTAAAGCTAGCATAGTGTATTAGAAAATAATACTTGACTAGTAGTCAGAAAACTTGTGTTTGAGTTATAGCTCTTTCACTTACTAGCTCTAGGATTTGGGACTAGTCTCTCAGTCACTAAACCTTATTTCCTCAACTATAAATTAGGACACAATTTAGTAGAAGCTCTGAATAAACATGTGATTGGATAATAAGGTTTTTATATTGCTGACAAGTGGCTTTTATTAGGATGGAAAATAGGAGATTATGGATCAATGAAAGAAGATGTAACAGTCTTTTTCTACCTCTGTCATCATTTAAAAACAAAACAGACACCATTAGGTTTCCTTATCTCTTCTGTTTAGTGATATTCTTTTAATATTAAAAACTTTAAGAAGTAAAAGCAGCACATATTCAGTATAGAAAAATTACAGTATATAGAAGCATAAAGAAATAAAAGCCACCTATATTATACAAGGTTGATGTATTAATGAAGACAGATTAAGACAATAATACCCGGAAACCACCAAGTAACAGTGGCTCAAAGAACAATAAATGAAGTATTGTAAAGGGGAGGAAGGACCTCATGAGATTTTGTCTCTTCCCAGGGGCCTTTTCTGACATGAGCTGCATGCCTGCCTCGCTTTTCTCATAGTACCTTGTGTTCACCCTAAGACTGACAGTTCTCCTCTCTATTGTGGTGTCTATTTATTTTGTTGTCTCTGCCATCAGACTTACATCTTGGGTCCCGGGTGTCAGTCTTATATTCCCAGGGCCTAGCTTAAACATGGAACATGGTAGGTGCTCCATAAATAATTGCAAATGAATTATACAAGCATTCATTTCATGGTCGTATTAATACATATTTACTGAAAGAGAAATTTCATTAATTTACTGTTACACCAAATTTTAAGAGGTATACAATAATAACTAGATTAGTATAATATTATGATTTTGACCATGGCTATAAAGAGAATGTTTATAAGGCAACTGAACTTGTGAATAATATTGAGTGCCTATGACATGCCAGGCTGTTTTGAGCATTTAACATCATATTTACTTATTTAATTCTCACAAAAACCTTCTGGGGAAATAGAATTATCTCCACTTCAAAAATCGGAAAAATTGAAAACCCAGGACATGAACTCAGGTAGCTATGCTCTAAAAATTCTGTGTTTAACAACTAGGTTATTTTACCTCTCCATTGTTTATGAGATTTATTATTATTATTAATTATTGTTATTATTTGCATCACTCCATAGTAGCATCTTCTAATGAGAACTCATAGGTCCTCATCCTGTGGTTTTGTCTGTCAACCAGAACTTCTCTTCCGCCAAAGGGACAGACTCTCCAAGAGGAACTCTAAGTATGTTGTGAAATTGCTGCTTTCATATCTGAGCAACCTCTACTCCACCTCCAAAACCGATGGGTTATTTGTAATCAACATTATTCATTACTCATTTTATAATCCGGGACTCACACTTTAGATTGTTTCCCTTAAAAAACATCCCGTTGCACCTCCCACGTAACTTCCGTATTCCAGAGGCTTTCTGGCGCGCAGACACTGCCGCATCTTTGCAGATTCGGCCCCGCAGCTTTCTCGCCGCCGAAACTACACTTCCCAGCCGTCTGTTCGGCCGTGCGGACTCGCCTTTCCCGGCTCCCGGAGGCTTCACGGAAAATCTAACGACGCTTTGCCGAGCAGTGTGGGTGGGAGAAGCACAGGGCGGACAGTCGAGGCCCTCCGGCCGCTCGCGCACCTCGAGATGGCCCGGAGGCAGGACGAGCAGAGAGGGAGCGCTCCCTTGATGGCGGAAGGCAAGTCGGACGCGGAGGTTAAGCTCATTCTGTACCACTGGACGCATTCCTTCAGCTCGCAAAAGGTACAGGCCTCGGCTGGGGCGGGCCTCGCGGATCGGGTTTCAGCACCAGGACAGCTCCCTCTGGGTCTCGCCCGGTCCGCGGGCCCACCGAGAAATGGGCCTCCCACGCCCTAACCCGGCGGGCGCGCCCTGGAGGGCAGGGATGCTCCTTGAGGGGGAGCAGAGAGAATCAGTCTGAGACGGAAAGGCACTGCCACTCGTGAAATGCGACAAAAAAGCATCACTTTCGGTTTTTGGACTGCAGGCCTTGCCGCCTGGGCCTTGGAGACTGAGGCAGAGGGAAGCGCCTTCCTGTAAATGCATAACATACAGTTCCTTCTTTTACTCTTTCTTGTTCGTATTTACTCTCTTCAACGAGGCCTAACATACCTATATTTTAGATTCTTGTTGGGGGAGGACACATGGGTCCTAATTAGGCTTAGGACCCAAAGAAAGTAGTGGTGATGACAAAGGTGACTGTGAAATGAATATAGCCAGAATCATTCTTATTTTATTATCTTTTCTAATCTATAAGAGTAAGACTCTAGAATATATCTCACTTATTAATTCCAGGAAAAGGAATAGTTAAAAAGAATGTTGAAAATATTAGTAACTCAGGAAAGCACGGAAAAGCTGCTCAGTGGTGTTCAGGGACGTCATTTAATTGATGGTCTGGATGTGTTGTGGTAACCAGTGTGAACTCTTCCAGGTGCGCCTGGTAATTGCTGAAAAGGCATTGAAGTGCGAGGAACATGATGTAAGTCTGCCCCTGAGTGAGCACAATGAGCCTTGGTTTATGCGTTTGAACTCAACTGGAGAAGTGCCTGTCCTTATCCACGGGGAAAACATTATTTGTGAGGCCACTCAGATCATTGATTATCTTGAACAGACTTTCCTGGATGGTAATGTTAAGGCTATTTGTGATTTCTTGGATTTACTTTCTACACAAATATATGTGTCTCCTCCCTCCCTGTTTGCTTCCTCCCTTCCTGCTTTCCTTCCTTCCTTGCTTCCTCCCTCCCTCCCTCCTTCCTTCTTTTTGGTTTCATGATGGTGGTTTAGTGCTAAAAACCTTTTCCATTTCCATAAGCACACAAATACAAAATTGATCAATGACATAAATTTTGTATAAGCCAGTGTAACTTCATTTAAAACATTTCATGTAAACTACAAATTTTAATGTTGGAATTTTCAGATTCACTTGCAAAAAACCTTGCAGGTGTGTGGCTTGTAGTGGTGATTTATTAGCCTTGAAGTCAAATTCATAATATTGATTCTAAATATACACTGTGAAAATCAGTTTCATCTCGTTTACCAAATGGTTCCACCTTAAAAACAACAGGAGGGAAAAAGAGGAATAAATCTTAGGCAAGGGAGAATAGAATGTTGGTATACTTGGAGATCTTTGTCCTTGTTACTTATTGCAATTTGAATTTTATATCTTTTGTAAGGAATTATAGGGCTTAAATTTGTATCGTGTTTTTAAGTAATAATCATTTATTGACAGCCTGTTTCATGTCAGGCATTTAATAATTTCTATTCAGTCTTTAAAAGGACCCATCTAAGACCGGCATGATAGACTAGTTGCTCCCATTTTATACACGAGGAAAGAGAAACAGAAGCGTTGCCTAAGGTAATATAGCTATTTTATGGCAGAGTAGGGCTGGAATGCAAGTCTTTCAAATCCAAACCTTCATATTACACTGACTCTCTCCCATAGTCGTTGCCACTTATGCATTGTCTCACTTGTTCCTAATGACAACCATTTGAGGTAAACTGTAGCTTCAATATTTGCTTGAGATTACAGCTGATCAGTGGCAGAATTGAGAGCAGAAGAGAGGTCTGCTAGCTTTCAGCTGAGTAGTCTTCTAAAACAGAAAGCTGCATGAGATCCAGTTACTCTCCATCTACCACCAGTTAGGTTGATGTTAATTGGGCAAATAACGCCAGAATATGGCCCCAAACTACTGGAAGCTGAGAAGGGATGTTACTAGGCAAAAAAATGTCTGAGATATTTAGAAGGAAAATAGGAATGGGACCTAAATGGCGGTGGTGGTGGAGAAACCCCAGGGAATTAGATTAGCAATGGGCTACCCCTGTTCTTAGTGCAAGTGTTTAGTTCCCTAGGATTCTCATTGGAGGTTTTGGTTAGAGGTGGCCATTGATCCAAACCAAATACTTTCATGAACTGCTTTCTCCTTCACTGTTATTTACTATCCCTTGTAAGTCTGTATGCTTGGGACTGTACCAAAAATGGTACCCAATTGATTTAAGACAGTTTTTCTCTACCTTGAGCTTTTTGGAAATGGATGAGTCGGTTAAATGATAATTTGTATTTCTTGGGAGAAGTGGTTGTAATAATGTGAATAAAATAAAATAATTATATAAGAATTCTATTTTAAATAATCAAAAATTTAAAAAGATACAGTAAATGGAAAATCATTTTTAAATCTTTTGTTCACATCTCTTCAACTACTACTGCTACCGTCCTCCGCCTCCTCCTCCTCTTCTCCTTACATTGTTTCACCTCTAAGATATTCAGTGATATAACATGTTACTTTACAACATAGTAATCTTAAAGATTATTAGGCTTTCTTAAAATTTTCTGCAGTCTTTTTCTTTTGCTTTGACTATCCAATAACAAAACTGAAATATATTCTGAGTCCTGGTCAAACAAGGGAAATACTGAGTTGTTCTTCTTATTAGTCTTTATTGAATCAGAGGAGAAAGCACCAGGAGCCACACATTAAGAGGAACGATGGAAACTAAGGAGTTTAATTCTGGTTGTGCCAAGAGAATAAATCGTCAAGAATCCTAGCTCAGTCTGAAGCTGTCGTGAACTTGTTGCATACCCTTGGCGACTTGACTTCTCTGCTTGTTCTTTTGGATTCGGTGATAGACTTTTATCAATTTTGGAGATACAGCAAGTCCAACCAATTCTTATTTCACTCTTTCCCAGGAGAGTAGCCATTTCAGTTGGAAAGGGTTCAAAGAAGATTAAGATTAAGGGACCTGAAACCCATGGTAGATATGAAGGTAGCAAGATAACAATTAGTGACATAAATGAAGGCTAGTCTAGTCCAAAGACGAAGTTTATCCCAAAGTATTAAAATAAAAAACAAACGTGTAAGTGTCGTCACAATTATCATCAAGATAATGTATATTTGTCATTAAGAACTCATGGAGATAAGGAAAAAAGCCTGACAAGAGATAGACAAATCTTATCCTAATTGTCACGGAGGGGGAAAGGTGAATTCTGTCAATCCTTGCTACTTAAAATGTGTTCCATTGGCCAAGAGCATTGCTATTGCCTGGGAGTTTGTTAGAAATGCAGACTCCTAGACTCTACTGCAGATCTCTTGAATTAGAATCTGCATTTTAACAAGATCCATACATTAAATGTTGAGAAGGACTGCTACGCATTTACTGTGCGTTAAGTAATTGCCTAAGATTTAAGCAGTGCTGTAAGTTACTGTCTTTAAGTGTGGCAGAGTTCCAGGATGGATGGTGAAAACTTAAAATATATATATATTTTGGTATCTCAGTTAAAAGGAACCAGCTTAGGTTTTACATTACTGGAGAATGTCTTTAACCGAAACTTAAAGAAAAATGAGTCTGTTATCTGCTGGGTATGGTTCTAGATATAGTATATCTTGATTTAAGTAGAGCATTTGAGATTACTTCATGTGATATGCTTGTGGAATGGACCAAATATGGCTGGATGAAAGTAATGCCCATTTTCAGATGAATAAACCACTACATTGAAGAATATTCATTTATAAACTTCTTATAGTAGGTTGCCCGTTTAGCTATAGACTTTCATTTTACTTATCCTGTAATAATTTTATTACACTTTAATTATTTCAATTACTTGTAGAACACGTAAACACCATAAGGTCAGAGACAGTGTCTCATCATCAACTGTATCCCCAATGCTTTGTATGGTGCATGTTATTTAATATAAGCTTAATAAATACTTTCAAATGATTAAAATGAATGAATTATTGAAAACAGATATCAGCCTGGACAGGGATCTGACACTGCCGGTGTTGTTATAGGCTTCTATTCTCTGACTTAAGCTTAACAATTCTATAAATGACTTGAATAAAGACGTAGTAGAAATGCTATTTCATTTGCAAATGATAATAGCTGGGATAATTAAAATGATGACTAGCTTATGAAATGCTTCTCATGGAATAATAATATGGAAAAATAACTATGATAAAGTTTAACAAGGCTAAATCTAGTAAGTGAATTTTGTTTTTAAAAATCAACTGCATTAGGGGCTGGCCCCGTGGCCGAGTGGTTAAGTTCGCTCGCTCCGCTGCAGGCGGCCCAGTGTTTCGTTAGTTCGAATCCTGGGCGCGGACATGGCACTGCTCATCAGACCACGCTGAGGCAGCATCCCACATGCCACAACTAGAAGAACCCACAACGAAGAATACACAACTATGTACTGGGGGGCTTTGGGGAGAAAAAGGAAAAAATAAAATCTTTAAAAATCAACTGCATTAATGAAGGATGGGAGACCTGGCTTGCTTTACCAATAAAAGCCAATATTAAAATAAAAGGCTAGTATGATCTCTAGAACTATAGGTTCTATCCAGAACATGGTGAACTGTGACCCACTGTATGCTGAAATGGTCATTTTCTTCAATTATGGATGGAACTTTGAGGAACCTTGACCAATTAGAATGATAATAAGTCAATGGATTTCGTGAGGCATGTAGTTGCTCATGGTTGTTATAGGAGACCTTAATTAAGTGTATCCATTCATCTAAATAACACAGTGTAGTCAGTTGGTATCTCCTTCGCTGTTATTTGCCATCCCCCATTAGTCTATTAGCTGGGGATTGTACTAAAAATGATGGCTTGCTGACCTGTAGACCTTTCTCACCTTTCTGTGTAATCAGTATTTACATCCTCGTGCTTTGGGATAAGTCCATTAAGTAACTGGTAGTTTGGGGGTGGAAGTCTGATAGCCAAGGCAATCCTTCTCAAGTCTTAGTCTAAAAAAGTGAATATCTAAGTTGGGGGATGGCTATGCTTGATTTCTTTTTTTTTTGAAAGCAGTTATGTGAAAAACTAGTGTAGACATCAGTGATATTCCTGAGGTCAGAACTTGGGTCAAAGGAAGAATTTAGAAGTACTCTGTAATGGCTGCTCAACCAAGGGCTGGCCAAGAGCAATCTCTTCATTCATTCTCTCAGTAGCTATTTATTGGGTATTAATTGGTGCATGGTCCTGGGATATTTCAAAGATCCCAAATCATTAGAAGCTTACTACTCTTCAAAGATTATTTTATAAAGTTTTTAATGATGCCAAACCTGTCTGTAATACATGTGTGTGCTATTATTACTATTCACTTTGACAGACTCTTTTCATGTACATGACACCTTTTTCTATCTGGGCACGTAGTGAAGAATAGTTATATTGAAGCAAGCAATTGAGTAAGCTCGATGAGATATGGTGGGAAGCAAACTAGGGAAACTCAGGAGCGGTGGATGTAACAAGTGAATATTCACACTAATAATAGGGATTTTAAATCTAGATATTTCTTATACTAATAATATCCTCTTTCAGTGAACTTTAGCTTGGCCACTAGATAGATAATAAAAAAGAATGTGGGCAGGAAATAACTACAAAATACCAGAACACGTACTATTTATTACTACCAAATAACTCAGTGGTATCCTGGAATCAAGGATATCATATAGTGAATATTGAATTTTGGTAATTTAATATATTATATAACAATTCTCTGAAGATCGTGTCTCATGTCTTTCATCTATAAATATCATTTGAAATATTCTTAGGAAACAGGGCTCAGTTTGGAAATAATCAAAGTATTCTGATATGATATTGAAGTATCACATATAAGTCTGGTTAGGAAATATTAATTTATTTTTTAGATACAATTATATCAATATATGTTGAAAATCAACCTCATCAGATTTTAAAAAGAACATTAATTCTGAGGTTGTCCCTACATTAAAAAATACAGTTATGTAAGACATTTCCAGTTATTGTTAAGGTTCATAGAATAAATAATTTTATATCTTCAATATAAGGCTCTTGTATATAGTTGAATAACTATATATGCCTTTTAGCACATCTACTGAAATTGCAAAATTGCACCAACATTCTGAGTGTGGAGAAAATATAGTACATCGTAAGGAAAAGAGAATGCGTCTTTAAAACTCATGATTGTGACAATGAAAGTAGCTTTAAAACGTAACTTTTTTCTCTCTGTGATTTGTCCGATTTTAGTGGACTAGTGGAGGTATTAAAATGCAGAGGTCCTAGTTCTGTATTATGTGTATCCAATGGTTGGAACAAACTGTCTAATAAAAGGGTTTTTGCCCCCTGATTACAAATATTTCTTTTAAAAGTCTTAAATACAATACCAATTAAATAAAAAGTGGTTAAATATTTAAGGTATAAAATTTATTGAAAATAATCATATAAATTTGGCTCCCTCTCTGAAAATCCTGGGTGCATATAGTGAACTTGTATAATTTGACACCATGTGCTTTTTCTCATCTGTGTTTAGACTTGATTTTTCTAGTCCCCAAGTTATAATGGCCTTGAATTGTAGTCAGTTTGTAACCATATCTTTTACTTCCAGTCATAAGTAATTGTTTACCATTATTATTATATATATATATATATATTTTTTTTAAAGATTGGCACCTAGGCTAACAACTGTTGCCAATCTTCGTTTTTTTGCTTTGTTTTGCTTTTAGGATTGGCACCTGGGCTAACAAGTGTTGCCAATCTTTTTTTTTTTAATTCTTTTTTCTGCTTTATTTCGCAACTGCGCCCCCATACATAGTTGTATATCTTAGTTGCAGGTCCTTCTAGTTGTGGGATGTGGGACGCCGCCTCAACGTGGCCTGACGAGTGATGCCATGTCCGCACCCAGGATCCGAACCCTGGGCCGCCACAGTGGAGCGTGTGAACTTAACCACTCAGCCACGGAGCCGGCCCCATTATTATATTTTTTGATGGCCTAGTGTATGATAAATTGAAGGGTAGAATTTTGTTCAGCTACATGATATATATGCATATATATTATATACTAATATCATCACTAAGTGATCTGAGTAAAATAAAAAATCAGCAAAGGGATAGAGTTAGAAATGAAGACTAATTGTTTTCATTGAGCTAATAAGGAAGACCTGAAAGTTATTCAGATAGACCCAGGGGGAGTCTTTCTCGAAAACAAGGCATAATAATGCCTCCTTTGTCTGCCATCACTGGAGAAGGAAGGAAAGCAGAGTAAGTGAATTCAGTAAAATAATGGAAGCTTATGCCTTTAAGGCCATAAATTCTTTTTATTTTTTGCTCTTGGGGAAACTGAATGTAATTTTTTGAAAATGGCTCAGAGCCATTGTTATTCTAACCAGCAGTACAGGGACTTGAGAATGTACGGAGCTGTTAGTCCCCATTAAATGGCTGCAGAATGCTTTTATTGTTTCTGATTTTATAAAAAATCTTTTGTTTTCTCTCATTGTTTATCACATCTTTCTGCTTTATGTGTCTCTGCCTGTTTCTAATTTGCCGCTTATATTTGATGCAATATAAGACCTGCCTTGTCTCCTACTCAGATCTTCTAGAAAGTCAGGTCTGATGCCAACTTATTTCTTTATTCTTATTTATTCTTCCAGCTTAGTCACTAATCCTGGCTTCCACTCCTGCAACCCGTTCCCCAGTCTTCTCATTGTCTGCTTCTTAAAAGTCCCCTGATTCTCCATCCTGCCTATTGCTTTCTCACTCCTGATTGAGGTACAATACCAAGAAAATATTTTCTTTTTTTCGTAGTATAACAAAGATGCTGTATGGAAGGATTGGAAAAGAAAATAGGATTAGAGTGAGAGTGAAGATTTCCTGCATAATTCAAAGGAAATGCCCAATTGTCTTTTGAAAAACTGTTTCCAGAGGCAGTGGGCACTACTGTGCTCAGGTGTGAGGAGGAAGATGGCAACGCATTGCAGGTGTGATCCTGGACAGGGTGTCCTTGAAGAGAGGACGTGAGCCTGGAAGAGAACTGGGTTCAGTGGGTCTCTTATGCTCTGTCTGGCAGTGTTTCAGGAGGTTGTTATACAGCAATGGTGCACCATGTAGAAGAAAATTATTTTCATAGACTTAAACATTTGTCCTTTGACGAATTTAGGCTTGGCCAGATGGAACTTGCCCAGAAAGCAATTAGACATTATTTTTTCTATGCTCATTCACTTTCCCAGGAAGGAAGTGGTGTGCCCTTCTGGAGACAAGCCCCAGGCCTGGCCCCAGAAGGCAGCCAGAGCCAGTAGCCATAAATTGAACCATTTGGGAAACATTTTTAAAGGCTGTACCATTTATGATTATTAACCTTAGGTTCTTGGACTCCTAAAGCAGTGGTTCTTAAACTTTTTGGTTTCAGGGCCCCTCTGTCTTAAAAATTATTGAGGATACCTGAGAGCTTTCATTTCTATGGGCCATATCTATCAATCTTTACCATATTAGAAATTAAAGTGAAGAGAAATTTAAAGCACAGGAACACACAAGCACACATCCCATTAACTGTCAGAGTGATGGAGTCATCACGTGTTGCTGCTGTATGCTTGAGAAAGAATAGAGTGAAAAAGCAATTAACATCTTAGTATTACTATAAAAATAGCTTTGACTTTGTGGACCCCCTGAGACTGTCTTGGGGAAGCCCAGAGATTCTCAGACCACACTTTGAGAACTGTTGCCCTTAGTGGTCTATGAATAGAATTCAGGAGATTTGAGATCTTACATGGGGAAAAAATTAAAATTATATCTTATTTTCACTAAGTTCCAACAGACATTTATTATCTCCTTTCATTTCCAATGTAGGCATGATCTATAGCACTGTCCGGAGAGCCTGTGACTTTGTTACTAAGAGAAATCACAGATATGTTCATAGCATATCAAGTTATTATAGATATCTTAAAATATCATTTTCAATTTCAATTTACCTTGAAATTAGGATAAACGTGCTGCTAGATCTTGTTAATGTATTAATAAATAGGCACCCATATTAGTATTTTATAATTTAAAATTATCTTGATAAATATATTTTAATCAGTTTCCTTTGCAGTCTTTTGCCTTGTATTTTATGCATTTAAGAACATTATTTTGGGAAGATGGTGGTGGCACACAAAGGATAAAGAATTCTTTAGAATTTCAAGGACCTTAGAAGGCCTCCAGTCTGCTGTACTCACAGAAATGTCTACCATACCTTGGTTGGGATGCTGGTGATATGCTGAGATGCTGAAAGGTCTGAAGTGTGCCCTAGTTGAGTAAATCCACTGTTGACAAGCAGTATATAGCTAACACTTCATTCTTGGTTATTCTAATGCAGTTCAGAATTGGACTCCCCTAAAGGGAATTAGACATTTGCCCACTGGTTTGAGGAATAATGCATCTTTTTTTTCCCTAGAGAGTCAGAAATAGCCTGTTGGCTAAAAAAGCTTGTTCTACATGGTCTGGCATTATGAGATCTTGCCTGAAATGCTCTGCAACCAAGTCTGAATTGTTAACGCTTATGAATGACTGTGGGATGCTCAAAAGGATTCTAAATTAAATAAATAACCTAAACTAAGCAACAAATCAATAAAGTTGAGGCTGTTCTTTTCACTTATTGGAATAACCTGGTTGGCATTTTTCAGGGGCAAGTTGAGCATCAGAAGTGGGAAGTGATACTCAAGGGACACAGCCCTCATCTTTGGGTCACGAGGTTCATCTTTATTGTTCTTGGATAGTCTCTGAAAAGTAAAGCCTTTGAGGATGTTATGATGATGTAATGAAAGAGAGCACTGCATTAGGAGTTAGATGACTTTAGTTCTTGTTCTGCTTCTAATTAGCTGTGGGATCTTGGGAGAACTTCTCAGCCTCTATATCCCAGTGTCCTCATTAACTACTACAGAGCTTGTCCAGCTCAAATATTCTATAATAATTAGAATTTGGGGAATATATTCATTAATTCATTCATTCATTAAAATTGATTGAACAGTTACTATGAGCCAAACATGATATTAGGCACTGGGGATTCAACAGCGAACAGGACATGGTCCCTGCCCTGAAGGAGTCTATAGTCTAGACTTCAACCAACAAATGAAGATTTATGTAGAACGCACTTTCCAGAGATAAAATATTAGAAATTCCTGGCGAATTCCACGAAGACTGTCATTCCACATTCACATAATATCAACAGGGTCATTCTTGATATTGGTTGGAACCTAGAAGAGAGTGGTCCCTGATCATCTTCCCATAATGAGCTTTCATTCACTTAACCCACCTTTACCAAGAACCTAAAATGTATGAGGCACCATGCTAGACTCTGGATCATAGGTTTCTTGCCCTGAAGGGATTCGTGGGGCAAAAAGATACAAACAACTAATTAAGGTGATGAGGGCTATAACAGAGTATGTACGAGGTATTTTGCATGTACAGAGGAAGGCACACCTGGCCCAATCATATTTTGGTTGTTGTAGGTGGTCAGAGGATGCTCCACAAGGAGTTGGGATAAATAACTAGGTCTTGAGGGTTGAGTAGCATTTGCAAGGTGGAGAAGTGAGAGAATGCCAGTGTGATCATAGTTTGAAATCTGGTCTGGTACATCAGTCCATTTCAAATGTTGAATGTCTGGGCTAGGGAGATATCGTCTTTTAAATGGTTTGATATAATGTTGAATATGTTAATGATGAAGGGGTTATGGTTATTGGGGGTTGGGTTTGTCGTTTTTGCTTTTGAATGTAACATCTCGTTAGTAAATTTTCCTTTAATGTTTGTGTACGTGTTTGTGTGTGCATTTTAGAGAAAACACCCAGGTTGATGCCTGATAAAGGAAGCATGTATTACCCACGGGTGCAACATTATCGAGAACTGCTTGACTCCTTGCCCATGGATGCCTATACACATGGCTGCATTTTACATCCTGAGCTAACTGTGGACTCCATGATCCCAGCTTATGCAACAACACGGATTCGCAGTATGTAAAAATCTTCAAGACCTGCTATTCTGTTTCAAGTTTCTGTTATTTCATTTTGAGACCTAACACATCTCATGGTCATTGAGAGAAGACTGGGAATGGAGTGGTTGAGTTGGCTTCGTTTGCTTCATGGACATGTATGTTATAGGTCTATCCATGCACCTGTTAGATTAATCAGTGCTTCAGCTGTTCAGCTGGACACCTATTATCCATAGGACCTGATTTCCACCTCTTGGCCTTGAGGACCAAGCTTGGATAAAACTCAGAAGAGTGGCTTGTGGAAAAGTAAGGAACCTAACACGTCCTCATGGACATTTGGACTGGGAGTCAGGAAAGCTGGGAGTCTGCTGGGGATTATGGGCAACTGAGTTCACATTTCTGGTCCTTAATTTCTGTTTCATTATGTGAGGGAGCTGGACTACAGGAAGTCTGACCGTTACTCTGCCTCTAAATTCAGTGACTGAGGATTATTGAGATTGTGGTGTGATATCCAGCTCTCTTTCCTCCCGTCCTGAGGGTGGAGTAGGGTTAGTGCATGAGATGTGGAACAGAAGGAGGTGAGCTCTCTGCACAGGCTCTGGGGATGGGAAGGGAAGGGAAGGGAAGGCGGCTGTGCTCAGACTCTGGGAACTTTGACTAGGAATGCTCAAACCCAGATGGTGTAAATCCCGAAACTATGTCCTTTCCAGCACACCACACCTCACCTTTATCAGTCCCTGTTATGATTATTATTTTTTTGATACTACTCCCCCCATCTCCCTTCCCTCCTCTTTTTCACTCTCTTTCTCCTCTCTCTTCCTGCTTTTCACCTCCTTTTATTCCTTCTCCTTGTCTTCGTAAGTACTCATATATGATTTGAAACAAGTATATAATTCTATCACCCAGAGTTAATATTTATTTTAAATCAGCCTTTTCCTCTCCCTTCATAGAGAAGTTCATTACAGAAAACTTGAAGAGTATTAAAAGGTAGATCCACCGCCCAGCACTGAGCTCTTCCGGGGGCTGGGCCTTGCTCCCAGTCCTTTCCATGGTGCTTCCCATTTCTTCCTCAGCCCATGCAGGAGGTACTGGTAGTTCCATTTTAACAATGAGGAAACTGAGGCACAGAGAGCCTAAGTCCAAGGCAGAGGCAGGGCCTGAGTTCACAGCTCATGCTCTTACCATCAGTTTCCCTACTTCTCCTTGTTTCTTGCATAGAAGGGAGGAAATAATTTTCTGTTCCAAAAATGATTTTATTATCAGGCCAAATTGGTAACACAGAGTCTGAACTGAAAAAACTTGCCGAAGAAAACCCAGATCTACAAGAGGCATACATTGCAAAACAGAAGCGACTGAAAGTAAGTAAACCAGGCGGTCCTCAATTGACATCCGCCTTTTACATTCAATGTTCTACTTTTTGAAAAGTATCAGTATTTCTAGAACATCTTCTATTAAATATCTCAAGTCACCACTACACGTGTTACCTTTGGCTTATGCTCTGCTTTTAGGAAGAATTTTTCTTTATTAGATTTGGTAATCAAAGGTGATGACAGTTGCTTCAAAAGCAGTTAAGGCTCATGCTGGTTGCCAAGGAAAGTTATCAACTGTAAAAGTAAGTTAATATCATATTCTAGGAGTCTGTCATTCCAGGTGTTCTGCCAGCTAGGCCCAGCAAGACCTCTCTCTCCATCTCACTGCGTTCAGATTTCTCCCTCACCCCTGACCCTGCAGTTATTCAGTCATGAAGTGTGCTGGAATTTCATTTTTGAGCACGAGAGGAGTCTCTCTGTGCCCCTCATGTTGTTTGCCCTCTCTGGCCATCTGGTCCCACAGGAGTTGCTAGTGAGCAGTGGGTCTGGCCCTTGGAGTATTTTCACAGCTGGGCATCCCCCTCTGCTTTGCTTTTGGTTGAACGAAGTTAATCGGTTTCTTCTCACTGTCTAGAATAAACAGGCTCCAACTCATAAGAGTTTGTATCTGCTTTGCTCTACATCGATTGTTTTTACGGGCAAACATAACCTATTTAGTTATTTCTGTTAATTAGTCAAAGCTGCTTGACCATGACAATGTCAAATATTTGAAGAAAATTCTTGACGAATTGGAGAAAGTCTTGGATCAGGTTGAAACTGAGTTGCAAAGAAGAAACGAAGAAACCCCAGGTAGATTATCATTTGTATTCTTTTTCTTTTTTCCTCGACACCAAGAGTATTTATGGGAACATTCTGAGATTTCACTAAAAACATTCTGTCATCTATTTTTTATTGTTGTTATTCATGGGCAGTTTAAATTATGATAGCAAAAATAATATTGAATTCAGCAAAACCCGGGTATCTAATTGTAACTCAGTCTGCATCTATGTGAAACATGACAGGTGAAGGATTTTTCTGCACGATTTAAGTTATGGTTGGGAGATTCCTACCTAACCTGTTTCACAAAATTGTAATTACAGTAGTTAGTTTGATTGAATAATCTGAGGAATTTCTTGAATGCTCCCTCTAGTATTTTCCTTAGGCAGGGAGAAAACTTCCAATCTGAAGTAAAGTATTAATGGGGGCCAGCCTGTGTCTGTCTTCAGGCTGGCTGGTGAGCATCCATGTATTGTACCTGTGAACTTGATAAAGCCATTGCCCAGGTGCATGCACCTGGACCATTTGCTCTCTTCTAATTGACAACAAAGTTGAAGACCATGTTACCTGAAACTTGCTTCACAATAGAGACTTTCTTTTGCTTTAGATGAGTAACTAAGAGCAGCAACCACTGAGTGACATTTCAGACCCAACTTCATGGATTTTCCTAAAGCACACCTGTTGTTTTCCTAAACCAGAGGGAAATATCTGTTAACGCCTCTGGCTCGCAGGCGCTCAACTCCTCAGAATCCTTTACAAAATGATAGACAGGCTTTGAGCTCAAGTGGTTCCAGTTTCATGTAGGGATGTAGGTGACTGACAGATGTCAAGCAAGTCTCCCTTAGCTTGGGGACATTTGCATGGACTTTATTTTAGCATCAAATTACTGGCTGAGTATGATTGTCAAGAGAATGTACCCTGGCTTTCATCTTTTGCTGTCCCCACACTTGCCCTCAAGACTGGGACAAAAGATACCAGCTAGAGCCGATCTGTGCAGGGCTGGCCCCTAATTCTGCGTGTCCTTTTCTCTGATTAGAAGAGGGCCGCCAGCCTTGGCTCTGCGGAGAGTCCTTCACCTTGGCCGACGTCTCGCTCGCTGTCACATTGCATCGACTGAAGTTCCTGGGGTTTGCGAGGAGAAACTGGGGAAACGGAAAGCGACCGAACTTGGAAACCTATTACGAGCGTGTCTTGAAGAGAAAAACATTTAACAAGGTTTTAGGACATGTCAACAATATATTAATCTCCGCAGTGCTGCCAACAGCGTTCCGGGTGGCCAAGAAAAGGGCCCCAAAAGTTCTTGGCACCACCCTTGTGGTTGGTTTGCTTGCAGGAATGGGATATTTTGCTTTTATGCTTTTCAGAAAGAGACTTGGCAGCATGGTATTAGCACTTAGACCCAGACCCAATTATTTCTAGGCTGGTCGAGATCTAGGGGTGGCAACTTCCCACTAGACCTCTGTCCACTGTTCCAGGCCCGGGGAAGAATGGCCCTGGGCAACTAGTAAAAAGCATAATTTACTTTACTCTTTGGGTAGTTTATGTGGGGAGAGGAGGCAATGAAAATGTTTTTGTGGGCTGGCAACTTTGAGCTAATCCATCCTTAAAACATGTGCAAGGTTAAGATATATAAACACTGTCAGGTAGAGAATACACCTTTATCTCCAAATGCCAGGTCAAGTTCTGAGTTATTTTTTGGGAGAAGGTTATTATAATGAACAGACAGTAATAATAACCTGTGATGGCCCATCTGGGACTGTCTGGATGTGCTGAGGGTTGAATAGTTAGCAGTTTTCCCTTAGAATTCAGAAGTCATCTTTGTTACAAACACGGGTTCAGACAGCAACAGGGCAGAGCAATGCTTCGTACTACCACTGCTAGCTTCAGACAGAAATAAGGGAGAAAAAGGGAAAAGGGAGAAGGGGGAAAAAGGGAGAATGAAGTTTATACGGTGAAGAGCAGTAGAATGCAGCCTCCAGGTGCCTCCAATACCACTCATGGCTGCCTGTCCCCTTAAGTAAACATTACATGTGACTACTTGTGGCCACTGCCCACACATCCTCCTGTAACTGAGAACCCTTGGGAAAAGAAGACAAAAGAGTTAGACAGGGGGTTTTCTTGGGAAAGGAAAACCGCCGGCTTCATGTTTACACACCTCACCTGACCTTAGTGTTAATTTTAAATCCGTATGACTCACACTCCTTGTTTTAATGAGATTAACTGCTTACGTACTTGGATGTGAGATGCCCACGGGAACATGTCTGCCTGGCATTTACATGAAAATCTGAAGTGATGTCAAAATGGCTCTTTTCTCTTCCTCCTGGTTCCCCAATTCAATGGTGCCTATGAGATATCACTCCTGTGGACCGTGTCCAGTCACTGGGGGACGTGGCCTCTACAGCCCCTTGTATGCACACATCTAAGGTCCCACCTAATCACTAGCATGGAATGTGGCTGGATAGTGAGTATTTTGGTGACTGAGAGTACTAAATATGCTCTTTCTGCATTTGGGAAGGCTGGTGTGTTAACACAAAAACTGTTTTCTATGCCTTCCATCTGTTTATTGTCATCAACAAAGCCTTAAAAGGTTACAGAAAAAGGAATGTGTAGTCTTAACCCTTGGCAGTTAATTTAGGGGAGAAGAAATAAGTGGCTAGATAGTGATGTCCACCAATATTCATTCATGATTGTCTAGGCATTTTGGGGGGTACGTCAGTCTACTGGGAAGGGACAATCCCAGTGTGTCCCATGGACACCCATGGAACTGCATCATTGAGTGTGTGCTCAGGAGACAGAGTTCGTGGTGACAGGAAGACAGAGTTTCTCTGGAGCTGGCCAGAAAGGCCTTGGGAGCAGTTTCAGCCATCTGATGGGAAGTGTGAGTAGAGAATGATGAGTTAGGGTTCCAGCAAACACCAGAAGCTTATTTGGACTGCCTTGGGTTGGTTGTGCAAAACAGCTGAAGAAGGGACTGACTTTTTCGTTCATAGGAAACAGTCGTACTTAGGAAACAATGACTTTTTGATGGTAAAACGATTCTATAATCCATTTCATGACCTAGTTGTTTTAGGAAATCTTAATGAACTGGATGTTCCCTGTTTACAGAAAATTAATAACATCTCCAGTGTAAACTCAATCCAGTAATAATGAACAGACTGATAGCCTTTATAATGTCTTAATTTTGTACCTCAGCATATTGTCGTATAAAGTATCTGAACTCATTTGTCGCTGGGACATTCCAATCCATGTATTCATAAAGAGCCACAAAATGATTATTTAGTAGTTCATAGTGTTTCAGAGTTATGTCACCCCGTTAGAAGCAAGAACTCAGACACGAAGAAATCAAACTGGGTTTTTATAAAAATCTGCAAAGACTATTTGCCTGTGTAAGGGTTGTTGATAAAGAATCAAGATTGGAAGCCCAGTGCTGGCCTTTCCTTAAATGTATGTTATTATTGAATCAGAGGAAATCTACTAGGAAGCATTTATAATTTTCTGACACGGTTTCACCGGAAGTTTGCTTGCGTCAATATCAAAGATGACGTATCGTGGCAGTTTCTCTTGTTTCATGGATACCTTTGAGTTTATACTTTTAAAATGTTTGTTTAGGGATGTAACGACCACTAGATGTTGCTGTTCATCCAGTAGTCTGAGATCGGGCGTTCTTAAGATTCAGCAAGCCTCCTGAACCGTTTCACGTGAAGATAAACATTGATGACCTTACTTTCGGAAATGAGGGCATCTTCATCAGATCATTCATCTGTAAAAAAGCTTGAGGCACGTGTAATATTGATTTCTAATGCTTGCAAGGGATAACAGTACCACACAATGTCAAGCTAAACAGCTGAACGGATACTGTTAGCAAAATAGGCACTTTTATGTGTTTTCTTTTTCACGATCCTTGGTGACTGGCCAATGTACTCCTCAGTTTCTAAAATTTGTATAAACACTACTGTTAGAAAAATGCCTGAGGTACTAAATTTATGTTGGCTATTTATGTCTTAACTCATAAATACCTTCTTGTTATTGCAATTGTATGCGTTTTGAATCCAGATAGTGGTAAATTGCTTGCTCGATTTTTAGTAATTACTGATATTGACACCAGAGTCGTAGATTTTTTGGTGTTGTTAAATGTAATAGAGAGATCAAGATACTATTCTGCCTGTAAGATCAATAAAAGTATCTAGAAAATAAATGTCCTGAAAGTACTAATTTTGTAATCTTTTTGAGAAAGCGTGTTTTTTTCATTTAAAATCAAAGCATAATGTGGTAATTAGAAAGAGTGAAATAAGTGCAAGTTAGGTATTCAAGATATTTAGTTAGAGAATTCTATATTTTCCTTATAACATAAAAATTACTGATTCATGATTTATTTAAATGCACACAATTTTATGGTTAAAATGAATGGCAGGTTAAAGAATAACATATTGATCCTGATCATCAAAGGAATTCTCTTGCATCCGGCCACCTAACAGGGATAGCATGAAAATGATAAACATCAAGAGTATTTCTTTTTAAATAGTTTTGTTACATCCTTCTTGGGTTTTGAATATTACTTTTCTCATGAAATTACGTATGTTTTTGATGTAGCTAATTCTCTTCCTTGTATTGAGTTATGGATTATGAATATACAAATTGCCATCCATGTTTCTAGCGTTGCTAAGCTTAGTCATTCTTCTAATCATCAAATAGAAACTATTATCTTTGTTACACTTTGAACAAAGCAAATCAAATGAAAGTCTATAGACTTTGTTTTTACAAACAAAACAAAAGGCAACAATATTGAATAGTCATGGAAGATCAAGTAAATGTGTAACTCTGTAGTCTGCTCGGAAAAGAAAAACACACAACGGTAAAGATACAAAGGTCAAATTAATGCAATAAATAAATTAGTGTTTAGACATACCTTCATATTGTTTATGCCAAGTATTTGGCCCATTTATATTGTTATTCTCTATTTATTCATGTCAGAACGCCTTGATTTTCTAATTCCCCAGAACGCTTGTGTTTTACTAGGTAGCGTAGTAGATTCCAAACCAAGTGAGGAAGTATAATCTAGAGTGAGGATAATAATTTTGTTTTCATTGTGTATTACATTATGAAAATGAAGAGAGGGAGAGAGAAAGAGAGCTAGGTTCATGGATTAGAAAGGCAGTGCATTGAAAGCAATACCCTGTAGTACTTGCTTCTGAGTTGAGCCCTGGATCCTGTCTTAGGAGGAAGGAAGGACTGACGTATGGTTCAGAGGCAGTGGGGTAGAGCGGGCTCCGAGGTATAAGGCAACACCAGCTCTTGAAGCTTGAGACAAAACATGCTTGTTTGGGGCCTTGATATACTCTTGGATTCAAGCAGGGTGGTGTATCTCATCCATAGTACCTTGTTGTAAAACTCCTTTGGGAAGGTTAGAAGTTTTTTGTCTTCAGTCTTTCACTTTGTTTATTACTTATACATTGGCTCCTTGATTACAATGTGCTGAGCTTAAACTCGATTATTAGGAGAAACCAGTAGAATGGGTGAAAATATAAAGATGTTAATGAAATGTAACACAAAGCATCTAGTTTCCAGGCCAACAGCAATATTCAAATCCATATGTATCAGTTAATTCCTAATCAAATAGGTAATTTTTCAGGCATGGCCAGTATTTGTAACCTAAAGTATCATCAGACTAAGCTATTCTTTGAATTTAAGAATCTGTTATTCAACAAAGTCACACATAAACATCATCAAATACACATCATAATAAAAACAGTGATGTACATTCAGAGATTCCGCATTTATTAAGTTCAATACTCAGAACAAAGTAAAGGTTTACATTGAGAAAATGATATGAACTAAAAATTATAAACACTGAAAGAGAGGTGGCTACATTGTAAAAGTGGCCACAAATTCTTCTCATTTCTCCACTCATTTCCTTGCAATGTGATATTACAAATTCTCCCATCAAGAATCCTCAGAGCATGACTACATCAGGCTCCCCAGAGAGGAATTTCCCAGAAATATTAGACATCAAATAGTGATGAGTCACTGGATGTCCATTCCAGGCCGAGTGGAGGGCCTCATTTTGTTGTTAATGCCGTCAAGTCAATCTGACTCCTAGCGACCCTGTATACAGCGGAGCAGAATCCTGCCCAGTCTTTTTTTTGTGCCATCCTCTCACCTTCTAGCACTATGTCAGACAATGCTCTGCTGCTATTTGTACAGTCGTCATGGCCAATATTTTTGGAAGTGAGCGGCCAGGTCCTTCTTCCTAGTCTGTCTTAGTTTGGAAGCTCTGCTGAAATCTGCCCACCATTGTGACCCTGCTGATATTTGAAATACCAGTGGCATAGCTCCCAGCGTCACAGCAACAAGCAGCTGCTACAGTATGACAACCAATAGATGGGTAGTGTAGTTCCTCAACTAGGAAGCGAACTTGGGCCGTGGTGGTGAGAGTGCTAAATCTTAATCGCCAGACCACCAGGGCTGGCTAGTGGAGGGCCTCATGAACACCCCGTTAATTCCCCAGGCAGAAGTAAGGACCATGCCCTAGCATAAGCCCTAAGTTACACCAGAGTTCTTCTATCTTGGCAGTATTGCTATCATGGGTCAGATAATTCCTGTTGTGTCGAGCTGTTTTATGTGTTGTAGGATGTTTGGTAGCATCCTTGGACTCTACCCACTAAATGCCAGTAGCTCCCCCTTGACCCCCTGCTGTGATGACCAAAAATGTCTTCAGATACTGACAGATGTTGCCTCGGGAGAAAATCATGTGCCGTTGAAGACCACTGCTCTACACCCACCTAACAAAGTCTAAAACCAAACCCTGACTAGAGCTGCAGGGGAGACAGATATGGGAGGCTGGGTCCTACCCAGTTAGAGGTGCTCTGGAAGCATCTTGGATCTCCACATATCCCCCATTACAAAGCAGAAACCCAAACCTACACAATTTGAAGGTTATTAGCCAGTAATTGAACGGCCTACTAGAACAAGAATCAATACCTTTCAGAGGGAAGATAACAGAATCCAGAGCCTTTATGAGGTATCACTAACAGTGTCCAATGCACAGTAAAAAAATTACCAGACATGCAAAGATACAGGAAAATAGGATCTATAGTCAATGAAAACAGTGACAGCAAACAGGAACACAATGTGATGTGACTCGAATGTTGGATTTAGCAAAGATTTCAAAGCAGCTAAAGGAAGATGTATGTTCATAGAATTAAAAGAAAATGTAGTCCAATTGAGTCAACAGATTAGGAATCTCAGCAGAGAAATAAAAACCGTAAAAAAGAACCAAATGGAAATTCCTAAATAGAAAATTACTGAAGTGCAAAGTTCACTGAATAGGTTTCATAGCACATGGGAGATGGTAAAGGAAAGAAAAAGGAACAGAACCTCAGGGACACATGAATAATATCAACTCATCTAATAATAATTTCCTAGAAAGAGAAGGAAGTGGGAATGGGGCAAGAAAAAATATATAATTAAATAATGCCCAATTTCCCCAAATCTGATGAAAAACGTTGACTTACAAATTCAAAGAAAATCAGTGAACTCAATGAAAGATAAATACCAAGAAAGCTGCACATAGGCACAGCCAGACTGCTGAAAACTAAATATAAAGAGGGAATTTTGAAAGCAGCCAGAGGGGGAAAAAGATGCATAACATATGAGTGAACAACTGTATGCCGAGTTCTTATCAGAAACGGTGGATGTCCGAAGACAATAGAAATGTCTTTAAAGTGCTGATGGGGAAAAAATCCTCAGAATTCTATATTGAGAGAAAATACCTCTTAACAAACTGAATGAAATGACATTTTCAGATAAACGGAAGCTGAGAGAATTGGATCCAGCAGGCTTGCAAAACAAAAAATGTTAAAGGCCATTCTTCAGACTGATGGAGCAATGAGACCAGATAGAAACCCAAATCTAGAGAAAGGAAAAAAAAAAAATAGAGTGCCAGAAACAGCAAGTAAGTGGGTGGTATAAAAGATTATTTTTATTACTTCATAATTTCTTTAAAAGGCAGCTGACTGTTTAAAACAAAAATAACAACATTGTAAGGTGGACTTTGTAATATATGTAGAAGTAAATATGTGACCAAAAAAGCACAAAAGTTGGGGGTGATAGATAAATGAAATTATACAATTGTAAGGCTATTAGATTTGTGGAGTGCAAGGTATGAAGTGTGAGGAGGAGTGGGTAAAGTGTAAGTAACAAGTGGGAGGTAGGAAAAAGGAAGTGTGAAGTGTAAAATTTTAAATAGTACCATTTTGACCTGAATAGATTCTGGTAACTTAAGAATGCACTGTTAGCCTTGGAAAAATGCTAAAAATTAATTTTTAAAAAAGAGCTAAGAAACCAATAGAAGGGATAGAAATAAAATGCCAATGAAAGGAGCAACAGAATGAAAAAACAGAAGTGACAAATGGAAAACAGCAAGGCGGTAGACTTAAACTCACCATAGCAATAATTATATTAAATGGAAATGTAATGAAAATTACATTAAATGTAAAATGTTCCAGTCGAAGGTCAGAGATTGTCAGATTAGATTAGACTGCAAGACACAAGTATATGCATCTACTAGAGAGATACTTTAAATTTAAAGCTACATATAAATTGCACATCAAAAGATGGAAAGTGATATACCAGGCAAATGGCATAAGAAAGATGATGTGACTACATACATTTCAGAAAAAGTAGACTTTAAGACAAAGCATTTTATGAGAGATAAAGAGGGACATTTATAAATCATAAAAGGATCAATTCATTAGGAAGACAATCATAAATATATACGCATCTAATAACAAAGCTTCGAAATTCATGAAGTGCAAACTGAGTTGGAAAAAATAGTGGAGTTTACCACCACTCTTTCAGTAATTAACAAACTTGTTTCTTGTTACTTCAGTAATGAACAAGTAGACAAAAATTAGTTTGGATATAGGATATCTGAGCACACTATCAACCTACTTGAGCTAATTGACATTTATAAAACATTGTACCCAGTAACTGTGCAATAAACATTCTTTTCAAGTGCTTATGGAATGTTCGTCAAAGTGGACATATAGGAGGTCATAAAAGAAATCTCAATTAATTTCCAAAGATTTGTATATTACAGAGTGTATTCTAATGACTATAACAGAGGTAAATAAAAAATCAATGACTAAAATAGTTAGGAAGTTTGCAAACATTTGGATATTAAATAATACATGTCTAAATAACCCACAGCTCAAAGATGAAA